GAAAAAAAAAGATTAGATGGTTTAATTGTTAAAGTTTGTTTTCTTTGAAGTGCATCTTTGTGTTTTAGGTAGAATTTAGCTCCGTACAGTAACTTTTAACATATTATTGTCACATCAGTGGAATGAAGTTGTACAGACGTAATGGAGTACAAATATAAAGTAGCCTAAAAGCTAAAGTAGACAAACCTTAAAAAGTACAAGCAGCAATGTACATCCATCTGTAAAGAAAGTGTAAGAATTAAAGCAGCAGAGATATCGTCTTTATTGCACACATTGTTCTGGACGGCGGCACGGTGGAGCAGTGGTTTGTACTGTCGCTTCACAGAGAAAAGATTCTGTGTGTTTCGGGTATTTCTGTGTGCAGTTTGGAGTTTCCCTGTGCCGCAGTACAAAAGCGTGCCTGCTAGGTTAATTGGTGATTCTAAGTTAGCTGTAGGTCTGTCTGTGTGGACAGGCGTGGTTGTGTGTCTCTTTGTGGTAGCCCTGGTGATGAACTGGCGACCTCTCCAGAGTTAATAGATGGATGGATGGCTAATGCAGTAAAGATGAGTTTGTTTGGTTGTAAACTTGTATTCTTCAGACCATGCTGATTCAAGTCACAGTTGAGAAAATCAATCTGCTTTTTCACATACTCTGTTTCTCAAGCAGTGCTTTGTGCATGAAATCTGTGCGTGACCCCTTCGAGTGCAGATTTTTAATGCACTCGTTCACAGCTTGGACCGACTTAGAAAGAAAACATAGCACAAATTCATGCACTTTTGAAACAAATATTAGCCTTTTCGTGTTTGTTCTTTGCTCAGAGAACATCTTGTCCTCTTTGGGAATTGTTCTTTAAAAACTTTTTTTTAGATGCAAAGTGACACTCTAGAAATACCCTCAAGTATGGGTATGTGTCGGCGCATGAAACCACAAAGTGCAGAGATGTCGTGCAGCTTCACGTCAGCTGAGAATCATTCCATTCTTCAAGCAGGCTCCGTCGCAGTTAGGGTTCATGAAAGACTTAATGAAAGCCTTGAAATATTCTCCTTTCGATATCCAGAGATGCTCAATTCTTAGAAATAGAATTGTAATTCTATGCTTTGACACGATATACCTCTAATTTGACTGTGCTGTGATTGGAGCTTTGATTGCTATATATAAGTTTATGATAGTTCATGGGGTTTTTCTGCAGTAAAATACAGATTACTGGAGATTCCTGTGCAGACGCTTCAGCAGATTGAATGAGGTCTCTTGGGGTTAGTTTTGGATTCCATGCCCCCTTGGGCCTTTATTGTGTGGGTTACAGTAAGTTCAGGCCCTGACAGCGGAGGGAGGGAGGGTGTTTTAGGCTCCGGCGGTTGATATCAGGGGGGCGTCGGGACATTTTTAACTCCCTGGCCTATCTGTTGTGGTGAAGGGTGTGTACATCTGTGGGGAAGATTGGCGCTAAATATCTAATTATGCGTGATCCTACGTTTCAACTTTCCCAGGGTACAGTAACAGTAACTTAACGCGGCACATGCTCTGTAATCAGCCATGTCAAACACCACACGAGGCACAGTCTCACAGATAAAGCGCCCCTGTGGTGCAGAACACACGTCCCCCCTGTTGTCAGAGCTTTAATTAGGTTCCTTTCACACAGGAACGACCGTCGAGCCATTTTTGTGGGGTTACATTCATCACCTGCTGCCTGCTAAATAGACCTCTTTGAATGTCAGCTGCACAATTCTCTGAATTAAGATCTACAAGAGATAAAAATGTAAATTAGGCCTACTTGTACGTGAAATTAATTGATGGATAATTGCGTTTATGTACACGAATGGGTGAAACAGTTAGACCGCCAGATTGCAGTTTCTGCCCAACTTTTAGATTAATCAGCAGGTCTTTCTGTTTCTGTTCCCAGAAACCCAAATGGTGCAGAGATTAAAGGTGCTGGACCTGGAAACGAGACACAAGCCTCTGAATTCAGCCAACCAGATGGACGAGCGCAACTAGAGCCCTTGGGCCGAGTACTTAACTCTCCACCTGAAATACACTTATTAGAAAAGAGCAGCGTAAACATGCGCCGCTGCCAAAAAATCTTACATTTTCCCAAAAACGAACTCTCATTCTTCATCCAAAGTGAGTCATTAGTCTTTCAAAGTACATATCATTAAGCTCATGCCAATTAAGTTGTTTAGGAGAACATCTATTTATGGGTGAAAGAGGTCAGAAAGAAGCATCTGAAAGAAGTTTCTGTGCTGTGTTTGATATATTTGTGAATTTTTCTGGCAAGTGCATTGCAAAAAAATGGAAGCTTTGAGAGTGGAAGACTGTGTGAAAATGATTGGGGTGGTCAGGAGGGTTGAGCAGAATATGTCACTTTTTAATGAATATTTGCTTCCACACCATGAAACTTATGTTCCTCTTCTGAAATGAGACCCCCTTATTTAAGAAAACCCTTCACATGGGCAGTAGTATCTATAAATAAAGCTTTACTATTGGTAGTTATAATTAATATGATTCATAACCACAATGACAGTTTGTACCATGACAGGCGGTTAATTCCCTAACGAGGTGGTGGAGACCAAAAAGAGAGCTTAAAGAAAATCAGTATTGGATTTACATTTGCAAGGTGCATAGAAGAACAGCTTCAAATGAATGATAACGTTGATCAGTACCAGTTAAATGCGTAAATAAGCGCATTTTTGCATTTTCATTTGATTTGAATAAATGCAGAGCTGTGGATGGAATCAAGTGTAAATTCATGCATGCAGACTGAACCTTGTACAGTAAGTAACACAGCTTTTAGGTGCTAAATAACCAGCCCAGCTAGCAGGAAACGTTCCCACAACATTGGCAAACATTCCCTAAAAGTATAAATAAATGTTTTAAAGGAAATGTTGTAATCAAATACTGAACAGATTGTATTCCATGATAACAAAGGAGGAACATTCTCAGCAATTCAAAAAATGTTTTCCAGATGTTATCGAGGCCTCAAATGAATATTATAAAACGTTCCTTTAATGTGATATGTTAACAAAACGTTCTTCTTGAAATATGCTGAGGACGTTTTGGGAATTTTGTTGATGGAACATCAAATGTTTCCACAATGAAACAAAGGAGGGATGTTCTCAATTCATTCCTGTAATGTGTGATATTGAAAGTGGAACATTTTGCCATTTTGTTCAGAGAACACATTATTAAACGTTCCTCTATAAAATATTCTCACAATGTTCCACGATAGCACAGGAAGAGTGCAAACCAGCATTCAGAAAACGTTTTCAAGATGTTATTGAGACCTCAGATGACGGAATGTTCCTGTAATGGGACATATTACAGGGGGAACATTTAGTCTTCTTGTTGATGGAACATATTAAAGAAAATTCTTCTACATGACTTTCCACAGTAATAACAAAGGAAGGATGTTGTCAGTGCAACATTCAGAAAACATTTTCAAGATGTTATTGAGGTGTCAGATTACAGAAACTTCATTAGTAACACGTTCTTTTCCTGTGGCATTTTAACAAAGGTGGCTGCCTGTGAAGTTCTGAGGACGTTTTGGGGACGCTGTCGAGAAAACACACTGTAGAATCTATGAAACATTCTCACAACGTTCCACAGTGTTACTTCATGACAAAGGAAGAACGGTTTAAGTGTAACAAGTTTTGAGAACATTTGAACAAAGTAATCTAACACTGTCATCGCCAAACATTTATAGAAAAAGAACATTGTGGGAACTAAAAGAAAACATTTCTCAGAATCTTTTTGGAATAAAAACATTGTAGCTGAAAAACTGCCCCATTCTCTCAAACCTCCCCAAGACACAGTTCCCTCCCCGTGTTCTTCCCCCTGATAATTTCATGCAGTCCCCAAACATTTTACCCATTTTGTAATTATATAATTTAGGTAAACTAATTACCTGGAGGCAAATAACTGATATTTTTGCAGCAAAGATAATCATCTGAAAATAGCAGTTATGCTGAAGATTGAGATATATCGTGTCTCCCTCGACATCTTGCGTCAAGAAAACAGTTTAAATCAGTGAAAGAGGCAAAGTGAGATGATATTAGCACGGTCGACATGGTGTCACTCTCCCATGCAGCAGGATGTATATAACCCATGCCTCGGTGCAGCAGGGCAGGGTGGGTGTCTGTGGTCACTGTCTGGGCTCCCTGTGTCTCCACTGAGCCACCCTACACATTTCTCCCAGTGGCACTCTGCCAAACCCCAAGGTAGCAAGCCATGAAAATGGGAGTGTTGCCTTAGGAGTTAAAAAAAGGCCTGTTTTGATCATCCTCTTTGGCTATTTATTCCCATCCTTGCTCAGCTATATCTACAGAATTAGTTTTTGCTGGGGAAAGTGGGAATTAAAGTTCAATCGCTTAGGTTTTCTGCTACCTTACCATTATTGCTGCCAAAAGGGCTGCAAATTAAGATTCTCCTTGTCTCTCGGCAACCACTAAGACTGAAAAATGCGTCATAAGGGACATGATACAGTAATTTGTGGCTTTGACTATAAATATGATGCATGATGCACAGAGAAGCATTGTATATTCATTTTCCCCATAAGCTTTGTTTAGTGAACTACCTGTTCCAGTTTTCACCATCCTGAGGCATCGTGTGCCTCATGGTCTTTTTAAGAGTTGGTGCTAAAGTCAGGAATATATCCTTATGCAATTTAATGACAATTTTTATGACTGAAAGGCATTAAATATTAATTCAACTCCTTATGAAGTCTTTTGTTGACATTGGCTTTTCTTACTCTTCATGTGGTTGCTTTATAATTGCAACTGTTTTCTATTAAATATCCTTTCATCTCAATAAAATTTATTGTGTAGAAAAGCATTAAAGTGCTAATCTTTTCCTTTGTGACAACTTAAGCTTGCACATTTAATGAACGCTGCGAAAATACAGGAGCTGCCACAAAGCACTGTTATCATTACTCCAAAAAGGAAAATGATTCAGCCTGCAACAAACATGCAGTTTTTTGCGAAAAGGCACTCACGGCCAACCTCTTGTTAGATTTCTTGCAAACAAACTTTCAATAATGAAAAACCTTGCAAGCTTATTTTGGGATTTGGCACATATATGGTATGAAAATCTGTGCAGACATCTTTTTCAGAAACTGTCATTTGCCATTTTATAACAAACAAATTCAGTCACATACAGTATATAGAACATATTACAAGTCCCCATAAAGTCTGAGGCCCCAAATAGAAAACCGTTTCCAACCATGCCATGCTTTTAGATGGTTTAAAGGGTCCAAAACTAAACATTAATCCATTTCTATAATATTCTTTGTCAGTTCAAAACAACACTGTGTTAACATGTACACAGTTGCATCCTACAGGCCAGACAGCAGACATTTTTTGTCTTAAATTTAGAAAAGCACAGGAAGAAAATGTTCTACTTTCCCCTCTGACTGCTGACTCTGTGGCTGCACGGATATTTATAATGGGAGACCAACGTCTGGATACTCACCATACTTTCCTCCATAACTGTTGATTTTTGCACCCAGTCCACTCCCCTTATATGCATGACCATCTGGCCAGCACCCTGCAGAACCCTTCAGCACCCTGCTGTCATCCAAGGTCACGGCGTACACATCAACAGACACTGCCAAATTTAACTTGTTCATCTTCTTCTGCATCGCACGAGACATTTTTATTCAAATGCACCAAACCGTCTTTTCTGGAGTCTTTATTTGTGCGAGCAGTATTTGTATTTGTGTCTGTATATTTTTACCTTTTGGTTACTTGCGGCCGTTGGTCAACATCAAAGGTGAGAAAGGCATTTTTGAGGTGCAGCATGACCACAAGTGTTCAAAACAACATTAACGCTTCCTGAGGATGTCGTGACAAGGAAGGAGTGGACATAGTCTTGGCTGAGGGAGCACCCAGTGGTCACCGGTCATCGGGCACAGCCCAAAGATCAGCCAGTCACAGAGCAGCAGTAAGTCAATATTAACTGTAAGAGCCTCCTTCACAGCTTAAAACGAGTATAAATAAGGAGGTGATGCTTTGTGTTTTTCCTGCTCTGATACCATTTAGCTGTCCACCCAGGAGCGCCTGAAATGACTTAACAGTAGATTAAAATTAAATGCTCAGATTATCAGAATTACAAGGAGCAGATATGGAGGAGTGGATGCGGCAATTTTCCTGCAACCACATAAAAGCACAAAAAAGCTGGAAATATGGTTTTGTGGGTCTTGTGAGTCAGTTTACTCATATGAGTCAGAGGTTAAATTTATCCGCTCAAAGTGACAAATTTCAAGTTAAAGCTCACGTCAAGGGTATCCTTTGTGTGTCCCTTAATCCTGTTTCATAAGATTGTGGAACATTAAATGCACACGACTCTCAAGTCCTCAGTGAGAAGAATGAAAAACTCCCCCAACGACCTCATTAGAAGAGAAAAACTGAAGAAATCTTGGCGAGGGACTAACACAAAGATAGGCCTAAATCCCTTCCAACGTATTTATTCAATATTTATCTACATTGCAATTAGTGACTCAACCCCAGCCAAAAACCTTGCAAGCAGTCCGGCCAAATGTACAAGCTACCGTTCCAGCTTCTTTAGGCGTCTCCTTAGCCCTTGTCTCAAAACGCATCAGGATAAAGGACCAGTTATGGTTAGCCTTAATGACAAAATGACAGCAGAAATAGACAAATACATCATGGCGTTGTCTGACTTAATGATATGTGTTCAAGGTTATTCGCAAGATTTCCACACTGTACATGTGGACACGGTGGAGTTTGTGTGTTATTATTTGGGATCCACGTCTATGATGCTCCCTAATGATACAGGCTTGATGTTGGCAAAATTGCCTCTTATTTCATATTCCACACACAGCACAGGACATGTCATGTGGTTGCTTGCAAAATTAGCTTATAAAATAAATGACCCAAAACTCTGCACTTCCTCCACTTGCTTGCGTTTCATTTTAAACCTGTAATTGGGATTTTTATTTTGGGGGGTCATAAATGTATATTAATGCATGGGTTCAGTCTAAAAGTCTCTCACGTGCAGTTGTTGACTTTCTATTTGCTGCTCTATGCAGACAAATATACACAGTGGAAACCATGATGGCGAGGATGTATATATACAGCATTGGAGGACGGTCAAATTCTGTCTGGTCATCAGGTTGACCACACGTGGTTTCCATACAAAACACCGCTGGCTGTCTGATCAGTGAATATATACGCATGAGTGTCCTCCACAGTTCACTACTGCTATTGCTGTCTACAGTCTCTCGAGGAAATGGCTCAGACGTGCTGCCCTGAAAAAAAAGTGCACTGCTTGCTCTTTTGCATTTTGAAACCAGTTATTTACACAATGTATTTTCTCTAATGTAATTAGAGAATGTGTGTGTGTTCCAAGGTCCATGAACTGAGTCCTTTTAGGGAGAACGACACAATCTAATCTAGAAAAACGGTCAAGTACAAAGCAGATACTTATCCAGCCAAAATGAATATGATTCTCAAGAGTGCAGTGACACACAGTTGTGCATAAAATAGGCAATGGATTGGTGTGTCTATGTCTTTACAATGCAGAGTAGCTGGTGCAGCTTGTGTGCATCAGCTCACCTTGAAGGTTACGGACAAAGTGTGGCCCAGCGAGGTTTCTCTGACAAACGCTACACTTCTGCTCCTTGTCCACTCGGAACTTTGTTTGTGAAGCCTGCATCTACAGAGGAGAGAGTAAAACAACAGTGTTCGTAAAAACGAGGCAAGAATACATGCAATTTTCAGTGCAGTTTAAAAAAAATAAAATGAGTATAAAACTATGTCATTAAACTCACCCAAATGACCTTGTGCCTTAAGAGCTCTGCCTGGGCCAAAGCTTTGTGCAGCCTCGCCATCTGCCTCTGGTGGAAGGTTTTCCTTAGAGATCCAACTATAAACTGGGAGACCAGTTGAACAGACCAGGACTCAGGAAGGAGCTGGAACACCTTCTCTAATGCAAACGCCTGAGGGTGGTTGTTGAGCAGATCCACGGCAGCGCCTGTGAGAGCCTCGGAGCTCAGGTAGATTTGGAGCAGGGTGAGCAGCAGGACCTGTCTGAAGTGTGAGCCTTGGCCCTGAGCCGCCCTGCAGCAGTAGGCCTCTGCAGACTGGAGGTCTTTCTCCTGATGAACAAGCAGCTGCAGTGCCTTGGAGTGTTCACCGGCCCTACCGAGGAGAATGGCTTTCTCTGGGTGCAGGGTTGTTGACTTCACTCTCTCTGCAATGGAAGAGAAATCAAGATTTTTACTGTAGTAGTGTTGATTCTCTGATTTTCTTTAAAGACGTCCACACACCATAAACAGTGGAGATGTCATAGAATTTGGATTCCCATAGCATCTGCTGCAACTTCCCTCTGGTCTCCCTCGCATCTGACTTTGTTTCCTCTTCCTCTCGCAGCATCTGATTAACATATGTCAGGGCCAGACGGTTGTGATACCTCTCCTCCTGGGGGCAGATGACATCAATTACGTCTCTGTGCATTTAATAAAGCAGTTAGGCTATTAGATTAAGTAGCTGCTGCTGTACCCACCTCGCTCTTCAAATCATGGATTAAGAACTCAAGATACAAAAGCAATGCCAGGGGGTGCTTCTCCAAGAGAGCGATGACGTCTCGCGTCTCTAATCGATCATCCGGTGGACGCTTGGTGAAAATCTGCACACCTATCTTAATCAAATAAAGGAAAGCTGTTTAATTAAATGACAAAATTAGCCGAGTAAGTGAAGCAATTCACTTTGGCGTTTTAGAATGTGAAACATATAGTTGCACTGAGCAACTCTGCCCTCTGCAGTTTAGTTGAGCTCGTAAAAAATTAAAGAAAGCCACCTCCTGGTTTCTCAGCAGAGTCCAGTCTGCAAATGCCCACACAGAGTCTTTGTCTTTCAGCTGGCTGAGAGTCATCACTATGTGTCCATATACATCTGAGCAGGAAGGGTCTGTATGGAAGCCGTCTGTAATCTTCATCCAAGTCTGAAAGAATACAACAAGCTAAGACACAGTGCTTTTAAAGTGTGCATAATTATGTGTAATGTTTAGGGAAATAATACCTTTAGTGCATCATTTTGCAATCCATGGCTCGCATAGAGGTAACCTAATGCAAAAAATCTGAAAATGAAAACAAGTCAGATGGCAGAAATTGTGCAAATTATAACAAACATCCCCAGTAGGGAATTGTTTTAGACAGTTCTTTCGTTACCAAAACCAGATTTGTGCAGCATAAACCTATAAAATTGCCTGCAAGAGATCTGTGAAGTTTTATTTTCACCTGTTGTGTTGCTCCAGGACAGGAACACACTGGTCCAGGCTGCACTCATTAGGAGAAGCCACAAGCTGCAGCAGATTCTCAGTGTCTCCCAGTTCAACATACAGCCTCAGGAGGGCGCCGTCCACTTCCTTACTGCACTTCAGGCCTTGTTCAGTCTCACTGACTGCTCGCAGAAAGTCTCCCAGGAAGGCCAGGTAATGATGAAATGTGTTTCTGTCCTCCTGCCAGAGCACCTGGAGATCTCTGCCCTTGTTGACTTGATCAAGACGAGATTGAAAGTCCTCGCTGAGACACAATTGCGTGCCAGGGTAGAGGCGGATGATTTCTCTGGGGTCCAGCTCACCTTTACTGCTCAAGTGGGTAATGAGTATTGATTTGTGTTAGATTTTCGGTGTAAAATTCGGCCCAAAAGACACATTTCACATGCCGCTACTGTGCAGCTTCCTGAGATTTATTTAACATGTTTTTGAATTTGGAGTGTCGTGTGAAGGGGGTTTTACTCTCACATGAATAAATCTCTGGCCTCAGAAAAATCCTCCCGGTAAAAATGAACAAATCCAGCCAGGCAAGTGATGGCCTTCTGCAGCTCCTGTCAGGACAAAAAAATTACTCTTTTTACAAACAGGCACACATTGCACAATCATGTTTAATGCAGCAATATGTGAACTGAATTAACTGGGGCAGATGACTTTGTGACGATATATTGAGACCAATATGTTACACAAATAGCACAAAACCACACAAAGGACAAAAAATTACTGTGATGAATAAATGTGCTAATGCCTACATCTTCACCTCTAACCTGTATCCTGAGCTATGACACAGATTTCACTCTATTTCAGACACCATCTGCTGTCCTCGATCGCATTCATCCAACTGGAATACACCTACAATGAACTCACGCTGATGTAGGCTTGATATCCTGAGTCAATCTGTTCAGCAGCGATGAAATATTAAATTCAAACAACACTATGATGCAAGACCAGCTGGGTTTGTAATGCATGCACATTATCTACACATCAGTTGTATACATGAATTTATGAAATGAATATTTTATTACAAAAGCAGTGACATAGAAAAAAGTTGGTTTGAAGTTTAGTGTAGGCTCCTTAGCCAAAGCATGTAACAGCTGACTTCGATTGCAAAAGCAGGGACGTGTTTGCATCCCGCAGTGCGCCTGTAAATCATATTTCACCTTGTAAGAGTCAAGTGGACGACGGCTTTGAACTCCATCCAGCAGCAATAAGGCCTCCTCCACTCTCTCGTGTCCTACAAGTGCTTGGATTTGCTCTTCCAATGGCACCAGGCTCAGGCTCAAGACGTCTCTCTCCGTGAACACTAACACGCCATCTGAAGGGGAGATTTGTTTTTGGTTCTCTGAAGCGCTCAGTGTGTCGGAAACAGTAGATGCAAGAATGATTGACTGAATTAGTGCAAACTGAGACAAACACGGCGGCGTCTTTAAAAAAAACACACACACATTTTGGCAGGCTATAGGCGTACAATCTGCCTGGATGAGGTGATGAATCGATGTTGTCTGGTTTACCTGATGTGGAAAGCAGACCCTTTGCTCCGCTGAGACTCACAGTCTGTTTGCGCTGCTGATCTAACATGCTGTAGACAGACAGCATTTGGGGCTGCAGGGTTAGGATGTAAGGGAAACATACTCCGGCTGCCAGCACCTCCTGAGGCCACTGCAGGGGAGGGCGCTGGCATATCCCTGTCTTCATCACAAACATGCCTGAGGGATGAGGATGGAAAAATGATATCTTGGCAAAACAAATATCCTCTGGCTGAGTGATATAAAATGATTAAATCTATCACTGCTATGGAAACTAAGCATATAACGACACATAGTTTAAGCATGTAGAACATTTCGCCAGCTCTCACCCAAATATCCGGGGCCGTTCAGGAGGAACTCCCCTCGACCCACCGAGGCGGCGATGACATGCTGCCTGCTGTGATCGTGAGGAAAAAGCTCCTCAGTGCTCCCAGTCCGAATATCACACAGGAGATACCTGTCACTGGTGGCTACGCACAGACTTGTACCATCCACTGCCAAGGCCACAGGGTCTTGGAGCAGAGGGACTTCCTTTACAACCTCCCACCTGTCAACTCCCACCACATGAATCCGGATCACTCTCCGGCGGCTGGAAGACGTCACCATCTCCACACATGCCGCCTGGCCTGTGAGCGATGAGTCGCACAGTTCAAACAAAGACACATGCTGGATTTTCTTCAGAGCAGGAACAGGCTCTAAGGAGAACATGTTGAAGGCAGTAACGCAGCGGTCCCACAGGACCAGCAGATGGTTGAAAAGTGGGACTGCCTTCAGTTGGGTTACTGGGTTGCTTGAGCCTAGTTTTCTTGCCCTACCTTCTCTGGTTTTGCTCTGACCGAGACTCAGGTCTCCATTTGCATCACGGGTAAGAATTAGGTGCTGGACTGTTGCGTCTTTGGTCCCTATGTACACATTTCGATCATAGCACTCAAGGCACTGGATGCTGGATTTGTCCCTCTCTTTTGAGGCTGCTTGCTTTTCATAGACTTGTACTAGTGTGAACGCTCTAAAAGCCATTTCAGAAATTTATGGATGTTGGATATGCAAAGGTAAAAAAGGCAAATGCAGCTCGAGTCTAGTAATAATTTACCAGCACGCACAGAGGAAGAGAGTTCTTTAATGCCAAATCCTTTCGCTGTGAAGAGTCCTTACAAAATGTGTCCGACTAAATCAAAGCTGCAGTTCTTCTCCTGTGAAAAATGTACAATAAGACGTCCCTACCTGTCTGCTGTTCAACCTTCCTCTAATTCCTCCACAAGTTTATGAAGTGTAAAGTAGTTTCACCACCCCCATGTGACTATGTACTGACAGGAAATCTATGTCAGCATTTTACGGCGCTCATCCTGCCATGTGAGGATACTTGCACAACTCACCCGGCAGCCTCACCAAGAAAACTGACTTTTACAAGTATCAAAACAAAGAAGAAGGACATTCTGAGGTGGCCACAGTCATGGTCACTTGTACTGGTCACACAAATGTATATATACGTGCATAAATATATGCGTAGTGTGTGCAAGGACTAAAGTGGTGGCTTTGGTCAGTGTGTAATGGACAAGAAGAAGAACAAGTCATCTGCAGCTCAAACTATATGCGGTTGGTCTGAGCTTGTTTACAACATGCATGAGGTCAAGAGGCAACAGAAGCACAGCAGCGGTTTGTTTTCCGTCAGTGATTGTCTAAAGGATGACTCTGAGGGGATATTGCGGTCATAAAAAGATCTGCATTTTAGAGCTACCATCACAGCTATATTTGTCACTCTGAACTTTGTGTCTTTCTGTTTTCCCCGAGGAGTTTCGGATAAATATAAAGTGGCCTCCGCTGGATGGCATTATTAGAGCAGAAAAAAGACAGATTAAGATGAACAAAAGCAGGACTAAATAAAAATATCTTTATTGGAACAAGCTGTGAGAGAACCAAAAATCCATGCATCATTATTTGTTTACATAGTGAGAATATAGTTTACAATACAATAAGCTTAAATAGAAATGTACAGATCAGCCTCAACATTAAAACCACTGACAGGTGTAGTGAATAATACTGATGATACTTTATGTGTGGTGACTTAACACGTTCAGCACAGCTACACTTTGCTCCAGTGTAAGAACAGGACAGTGCACCGTGGCACACCACAAAATCTGCTCAGGAGTGGCTCAAGGAACACGACAAACCAAAGGATGCACCGCCTACGTTCTTGTACCGCAGGACGTCCTCAGAGGTTCTATGATCATGTTCTGATGGATCAGAGCTGTTTTGGTGGCACAAGGACCTACACAATATAAGCCAGGTGGCTTTAGTGTTGTGGCTGTATGATGTATATGTGTAATGAAAGTCAGACCTGCATTTGAGAGGAAAATATGCTTTTTAATAATTATTTTCAGCATTGAACAGCTGGTTATTTTCTGACCTAATCTGTCTGACTATATAACATGATAAAAGGGTGAAATATTCCCAAGCAACATGGCCAAATGCTTAATTATCAGTTCAAAATCCACATATATGTAGCTTGTTGCATAGGACAAAGACACCAAATTAATTTGATTCACAAAATATTTGCAGATCATTTTTGGCCATTTTTGCGACTCAACCACATCAACTAATGACTAATATTTCTATATCCTTGTCAATAATGAATGAGTGAGGTGAAAAAAAGAAGAAAACGTGATTTAACAATAGTGCATATGACAACCTAACTTCAAAAAATAAAAGATACGTGTTTATCTTTACTAAAGCATCCCAGTGATTTATAACACAAAAATGAGCTTTTGACATTCAGAGTTTAAATGTGTGCCTGGCATGCTAACAAGAAGCATTCATGGAGCTACAGTATTTGTATCAGAATATGAGCTGCTGTTGTCATTCATGCAAAGCCGTGATGATCCCTCCATCAAAAGGTCATTTCTCCCTCCCGCAGTCGGTGCACAAAATGTTGTCGCGCTGGGTGAGAAATCCGCGTCCCACCAGTGACACCGAGCACTGCATGCAGGTGAAACACTCACTGTGCCACTGGCGCTCCTCAAAGGAGATGTACTTGGCCCCTGCCAGACCTGCACACATCAAACAAGCATCCATGAATCTCCAAACTCCAAAGGTTAATGCAGAAATCTTGACCTTGTTTACCTGACAGTTCCTACACAAATGCAAATGCAAAGTCCTTATATATGAGGAGGAGATGGTGTCAGAGTAAATGCAAAAAATGAGTATAGCTAGTGACTCACTGGTGATGGCTTTGGTGCAGCCCACACACTTCTTTGCATACAGGTTGCTGAAACATTCAAGGCAGTAGGGGTAATTTTCCCTGGAGGTGAAGCGCTGGCCTGACAGCTGCTTTCTGCAGCCAATGCATAGGAAACACTCACGGTGCCAGGGCTTGTCTTGGTAGGTCACTCCACCTGTTGTGATGGCCTATAGGTAACACAAAGCCAGGCAAGAGAAAAAGGAGACACAACACAATGTCAGACTTCTCGCTATGCATCCCCTTTGCTATGCAGTGCCAGTATGAGCAACATTAAAATGCCACAGTCGGTGGGGGGATTTACAGCAGTGGTCAATACACATAAACCACTCAGCTGTAACCCTACCTTCTTACAAGCGCAGCACTGGTAAGCAAACTGCTTCTCGAAGCAGGGCACACAGAAGTAGCCGGTGTCTTTGGGGATGAAGGACTTGGTTCCTATTGGCTGCTGGCAGCGGTGGCACAGGAAGCAGGTCTCATGCCAGCTGTTCCCCTTGTATTCCATTTTGCGGGAACCTGGCACACGGGACGAGAGCAGCTTAGTCAGCATATGGTACCTCTATGACAGAAACACTGCATCCCAAAATAGTCGTTGCTTGTCTGTGGGGAGGGGACAACGCAATCTAAATAATCATGGAAAGAATTTTGTGAATAGAAGAAATTCCGTTGCTTGAAATGTGCAGATGCAACCATAAATGCTGCAATTATTACACCATTTAGGCTACAATTGTGGTCAAATTTGAATTTTTCTGACCATGTCCTCTGGCCCATTGTTGCTTAAAAGTTCAGATTGTAAATTCATTCTTGCTTTTGTGAAGCGCAGGTCGCCAAACAGTTTAACCACTGGATCCATTTATTCGCTGCGCAGGTGCTTTTGATGATATCCTGCTCACCAGCTGTCGATTTATTGAAGTTCATTCAACATCTCAGCTGTGGGGATCAACATGGATCAGATGTAGGAGAAAAATACAAATTTGAACATTGACACCTGAGACATTAAACAGAAATCTATCTGCTGTGATCCACGAGTGTTAGAGGACAAGAATGAACTTTAATTCTGAATTATTTTTTTCTGAAAAGCATAACTGTTCTCATCATCAAGATCATTAGGACCTGGCGAGAAACCACATATAATTACTGATGTGACAGATCTTGTCATCACCAGTTTGCTCAAATTACCACTTTGGGTAAATGTCTGAATACCATCTAATTAACTAAGAGTAGTAACGATAACCAGTGGTGCTAAACGGTTTAGCTGACCAATAAGGACCAATTCTTGAATTATTAAAGGGTCATACATTTGTAAAGGAATAGTTCAACATTTTAGAAAGTATGCTTTTCTACCATTCCACTGCAAAAGATACGTAGCTTCGGGATTTTTAGAGATGCGAGCAGCCAAATTTTGTTATCAATGGATGAGGTAATTTTGGAAAGCTGACATCCTCTCTGACCAAAAAAATGGTATCAATCCTCTCATATAATTAGAAAAAAACATTACAAGTAAGCAAATGCAAGTCAGTCATTTAATAGCTATTTTAGAGCTTTCAGTTGTGTCACACTATTTTCCTCTTCAGATAGAGTTTGGCCAGTTGTCATGGAGCTGTGCTTGCCTTGGAAACATTACAGCAGCACTAAATTGGATGTAATGTGTGTTACATGTACATGCCATCAAAGTGAGGTTACATTTCAGGCGACATTATCCAGCCCTATTCATCCCTGCATACCTGGCATGACGGTTTTCTTGCAGGTGCTGCACTTGGAGGAGTAATCATTGGCATAGCACTCAGTGCAGAGCAACAATTCATCCTTGGCAGCAAAGGCCTTTTCCACCAGAGAGCGGCTGCACTTTGCACACTTGAAGCACTGGTCATGCCAGTGGCGATCCTTATAGGACAGGTCCTGTCAAGATTAATACATTATTTAAAACATGTGCTCAGATTCTGTAAGATTAATAGGGCATTTAGAATTCATTTAAAAACAGCACTAAAAATAAACTACATCAACATGTTGCTCATCTTCTGATCTCTTATAAACCGTCATTTTGCACATTACAGATGTGGAAGCCTCTCCCTTTGGGAGAACACTGGTGCTTCCTTACCTTACAGTTACAGCCAATTGGTAAAGAGCACCCCTCACAGCAGTTAGCGAACAGGTTCTCATAGCACTTAGTGCAGTACTGCGTGTCCTCTTTCATTATGTACTTCTTCCCCAGCAGGGAGTCTTTGCAGTAATGGCAGTCGAAGCGCTCGCTGGCAGACATTGTTGTTTGCTTTTCTTAGCTGCAGGTCAAAGAGAGCAGGAGGAGGAAAATTGGACAATAAGGAAGAATAGAAAGATTGAAAATGCCCTGTAATAGTCCAGGCAATTTCTTCTCCCTCTCATCAAGCAAGTAAAGAGGCCAACCAATTTTTTCTCTTTCTTTGAGAAAAACTAAAAAAAATAAAAAGTACCGTTGTATTAAAGAAGTCTCTATCTCGGTTGATGCGGGGCGAGGATGAGGCTGAAGCCTGGGACTGCAGACACTGAGCGGTCCAGACACAGGGCTGGAGCACGGATGAAAAGGGGTCAGGCAGGATTATGGGGTATCCACTGGGGGGCTCTTCTATAAATACAGGCCCGCTTATTAGCGGTAATCTCTTGGGAGAATGGACATACTCCACTGCATCATTCTGCACCTTTTAAGGGAGCTGATGGTGCACAAACCTCAAACTGATTTGATCATTGTTCCTTTATTCCAAAAATGCTGAAAAACTAAGAAAAGAGCAACTTTAGGCCAATACGGTTACTGTTGGGGTACCTGCTATGTAACCAATGTCTGTGCCTACATGTTTTTCAATACGTAAATACAGTCAGTTTAGTTAATGGTGAAATTTGAGCTTAAGCGTTCTAAATCTTTACCACTCCCTAATATCACTTTGGACACTGGTGCCACAGAAGAGCGAGTTGGCCACTTGGATGCTGTGACGTGTCTGGACACACTTGTGGCCTTTGTCAGTGCCTGCTACACACACAAGCAGTTGCAGATGGCTTATGAGAGGTAGGTGCCAGCAGCTTTGTGGTTGCCAGGTACTGAACTATATTGCCAGGACCTCTCGGTGGCTATTGAGAGCGCCTTGGCAGCACTTCAGAACAGGGAAGCTGCGGGCCTGTGGATGTTCAATCTATCCACGGCAAGATAAAGAGAGGGGAGCAGAAATGACACTTTAAACGGCGACCATCTTGCTAATAGTGATGCTCTTGTTACTTCATTTAAAACCAATTCGGAGTGTGTTGCTGTGGAACAAATGGTGCCATGCCCAGACCATTACAATACTATTTATAATTCAAGGGTTTCATGTTTTTCTGCGTAAATGTTTGGCTCAATCACCGATCCCAAATGACTGTACATGTATAGGTGTCCAAAAAAAAAACCAAAAAACGATTTCCTTTTCCACCTGGTTAATTATTCAAATTCATCTGCTTCTTTGACTGACAATTAACTGATTACATTTGAATTTTGGAACATGTGCTCATATCAGTTTTCCGAAAGGATCAAGGAGGGCAGACATCTTCATAAAAATAGCCTGGGAAGACCACCAGCCCAGCCCACAGGCTTAATCCCTCGTATCCACACACAGGAAGGTCAGTGGCAGTGATGAGCCCGAGAGGAATGCAGCTCTGTGTACATGAACTCTCTTTCACTCCGTCTTCACTCCACATTCACTTGAGTGCAGCTCCTTGTAAAGACAGCAATCTCGAATTACTCTCTTGTAATGAAAGTAAGCCATTTTTGGATCAGCAGATGATGTAGGAACATGGTTCTGCAGTGCATGTAGGTGGTACCTACAAGCCTCTGAGGGATAACGTAAGGCTATGTTATTTTTGACCTGCCCGATGTGTGTTATGTAAGGCTTTCAGCAATAAATAAGCGCATCATGTCAGGAATTCAGGTGTAGGCAAGATTTTTTTTTCAGATATCTCTTGATTTAAAATCATGCCATCCTTCAGGTTCTTCTCATCTCTAAGTAGGCAGATCTGCAGGATTACACGAGTCATCGCTCGCTCTGGATTAAAGTACGGCTGTATTGAATCCTCGCTCCCTGCTGATGTCCAGATCAGTGTCTGTGAAATCACAAAGACCTTAAATATACCCAGAACCAACTGTAGGACAGATATAGTCAGTGCCACTCGAAAGCTTCTAATCTTTGTTGCTTTGCTGCACAGCGCTGTATGTCTGTCGTCATGTGACATCCAGGCAGGGTGGAGGTGACCTATATTCTCCAGCAAACAAAAACTCTCATCTCTTTGAGTGTGTTGGCATACTATGAAAAATAAATTGCATGTCAACAGGCGGAGTCATTCACTAGATGTTGAGGCAGAGGTTGTTGTACAGTATATTGTGTTTAAACAAGTTTTGCGTCTGATGTATAACAGGTGGTGGTCTTTGTGTCTCGGATTATTAACTTCTACACCAGACAGCGCCAACTCCGCCGAGCAAAAGGCGTGCTGATCTTGCATATTCCTTTTTGCCCTCTTAATCCTCTGAAGTCAACTAGTGAGCAGCTGCCAACAGATTTCGTATGCGGCCTGTCTAGCCTCAATAAATAGGCCTTTATTTGACCTGGACTCGGGTGTCCTCTTATCTTAATGTATTCAGGCTTTACAATAAGGTGTCAGTGGCTGTTTTTTCCCCTTAATCAAATGATCTCAGAGAAGAAGAGAAGCATTTACTTTGGTGGCTCCTTTGAGGTGGTGACTTGTTGTAGGCTGAGGCAGATCAACACGACACAGTTGCATCTCTCTGAAGCACAAAAGCCTCGCTGCACCGAAGCTGACAGCTGGTTGGCATGGTGATGACAGCATAAGTGGGATCCATTAGGGTTGAGATGAGGGGCGGCTCTAGTAGTTAATAAGAGGACTCACACAAACCCGTCCCTTTGAGCCAGTCTCTGTGCTCTTCTGCGTTATGGAGAGCTCGCTTTCAACACAGCATTTTCAGCTGAACAGGATAGCCACATAGGGGGTTACAGGGGGCGAGGAGATACAATCTACTAAGTCTACAATCTAGCAAAACCTTACACCCCTTCGGGGAGGCCCTGTGAGTGCCCGGGTAATGCCTCCACCAGCTCCGCCTGCCACCCCCATCCCAGTTCTCACCAAAGTGAGTCATGGTATGAGTGGGCGACAAGACCTGTCACAGAGCCAGACATATGATCTGCTCTGCTAAAGAGGAGAGAAAGTTGTCTACTCCTTGGTATGTACAACTCATTAAAATGTTCTCCGCTTCCAACGCCGGCATCATGGATTTTTTTAGTGGATTATCTGTAGACAAAGTTAGTGATTGCATTCGGATGACAGCAGCAGCAGCAAGTCAGAGTACAAAACATACAAGTTTATACCTAGAATTTCGATCAATTATTTACAGCCTGCAATTATTTGAAGGTAAAAGAAATTGGAATTCGAACATAGCTGTGACAGGAACAAACTTCAGCAAACCTCAGACGTCCTCAGATCCCAGAAAGAATAGTTTTGTTTTTTTTTAACTCCAGCTTTCAACAACACTGTCCAAAAACAGTAACTTCATCCTCAACAAAACACTTCCTAATATATGAACTGTGCAGCATAAACAAACAAACACGCTTCACTTAACGGTAAATACCTCTGATTTTTGGAAAGAGCTAAAAAAAAAAACCAACAAAACAAACAGTCACTCATTATTTTTGCAGAAATCTAATCTGGGTTTCTTTTTTTATTATTTGTCAGCTAGAATTCAATTTAAATGCCAGAGGAGGTAAATAGTGAAATGTTTGCTGGCGTCTTTACAGAACCGATGACACATTTTTAACGAGAATTCGCTATAGCACAAACCTGCAAAAAGTGTTGTTTTTTTGTTTTTTTCTTGCCAAGCAGAAAGAAGCTGGCATCATTATCACCTTTAAATCTGATGTCAAACGTGTTAGCAAACAGTCGCCTGCTTGCACATGTTTTCTAACTTTGTCAGTTTGGTGCTGAGCAGGCAGTGTGCAGCAGGAGTTTAGAACTTTTCTTTTTTTTTGGCAAAAAATAGCAGCATGTAGCAGCCAAAATGTCCTGGGAGAGCAGTTAGATTAAACCAAAGCAGCTAAGTTAGAGGCTGAAAAGCAAAGACAACAAAAAAAGAAGCTGAAAGATGCTAAAACGCTCCATAGAGATTAGAGAAATTGCCGTGTCAGTGATAATTAAACCATCAGTCATCTGAGCCACTGCTATTATAATAACATTAATATGACATTTAAGACTACAGTTCACACAGCGCTATGGAGTGATGTTTTGTGTTGCATTTAACCGAGCAAATGTGACACCCATTGCTGAGGACAAGGATCTCCTCTGAGGCACTGTCTTGACATCTATAAACCAGAGAGACAATCCCCCCGCTGCCACCTGAACTTTCACATTAATCCTCAACTGACATGGATGGATTATTAGCACCACTGATCCCGGCAGCACACGCACTCATCGCACACTTTGACCCGTGGCGTCGAGTGGAAGCACTCGACAAGGATGTGTCATCTCCGCGTGGTGGAAGGAGACGACGGCAAATATCAGAGTGCTGGCGAGGATACGGGGTAACTAACAACAGCCGGGGGATCGAGGCGTAACCACCACAACACTCTCCTCCCTCTCATCAATCACTTATCAAGGCTTTTGGATTGCTATTTATACCTCCGCCTGCATTACATGGCACCGTAGAGGAACAGTGTGGGCAACGACTGTGGAAATTACATTCGATATAGATGCAAGAACACATATGAGGTGGCATCATGTAAAAAGAAAAATGTGTTGAGTCTGTCTAACCTGGGAAGAAAATAGAGCTTTCAAGATTAGACAAGATTTGTGTGAAATTTAAAGGAACAGTTTGACATTTTGGGAATGTTTGTACAGTAAATACAGCCAGCAGCTGCTCAGCTTAGCTTAGCATAGATACTGGAAACAAGGCGAAGCAGCTATTTGGGGGATTAAACAGGTATTTGTTGTGTGTGAAAGTTGTTGCACTGCTTTTAAGCTGTTTAAGGAGATGGACGGTAACTGTTGCAATGAAATTATCACAAAAGCGTGACAGCTGAACTGATTTCCTCGTCTAACTTCTGGAAAGCGATTAAGTGTATTTCCCAAAATGTCACCGCATTCCTTCACATCATCATCATCATCATCATCATCATCATCATCATCATCAGGCGTCTCTTTACAAAAAGCACCGCATGCCTCACTCACGTTTGCTCATTAGTCCATATCTTTATTTTTTTTCTTTTTGACACTATCAGACATCTACAGTTAAAACACAACATTTGGCAAAATACAATGATTTGGCAAAAAACTTGTACTGATTGACTCACTGATTACTTCAGTGCACTGAAAAAAATAAAATAAAATAAAATAAAAGTGAGCATTTCTGGAGAAACCACACACGTAGATTTCATCCCACTCAAGTGTTTTTTAAGGACACCAGCGAAATCAGTGCCAGGTCATTCAGTATCCAGAGACATCCTGATTCACTCTCTGGTGCTGTGACACATTCACAGACTCAGACAGAGGAGGGAGGGGGACAGAGAAGCTACAGCTCCCTGCATTTGTTTTTGTGCAAAAAAGAGAGAGGACGGGAGAGAGGATGAAAGAGACGGACGACACACACAAAAAACTTGAAAATAAAATGATAAAAAATAACATTTGTTCCTTAAAGTCACCAACCACATTGGACGAGAAAGCTTTGTTTTCACATGAGATGGGACTGTACAGTATGAAACCATGAGTGGCAGTTTCATAGTTAATCTGCGGCAGAGGCAGAGGTCTTGGATGACAGTTTTTTCTGAACTCACAATAGCTCCATCTAAGACGGCCACCAGCACAGTGAGTCACACAAACTCCACACGAATAAAAGTGCCATATCTCTGCTGCATTTTGGCACAACTTTTTCAATTAGGTCATGCCAACAGGATTACCACCGAATACAAAAACGAAAGGAGAAAGAAAAACAAAACCGTCTTGAATGTAAAATTGCCTCCCCTGATGAAAAATCCACCTCACAACACTGAAAGCATTGTCTCTGACGTCATTTATCCTTTTCAAGTGTCTCTCTCTTTTCACCTTGATTCACAGCCTCTTGAAGCACCAGGCGTTACTTACAAAGGTACAGCAAAGTCACATTCACTTCCCGACAACACTTGCATGTTATAAAGAGATATGAACATTAAAAATATATACAACACTTTGTTTCTTTTCCCCCAATGAATGCAAACTCCTGCTGAAGCTCCCTCGGTCTGCTGCACGTACAGGAATGATCTGTGTTAGTGGGCTGGTTTGATCCGATCGATGCTTCAGTTCACTACAAGGTTTATATACAGGTTTCACTATGGCATTTGGAACCATACTCCATAAGAAAAATAATTGAATTCATCCTAATTTACATCAATGGTCCCTTTGACAGTGAAGAAATATCAAAATGATAACCTACATCATGTTTGAGACTTTGACCAAGTAGCCGCCGGCTCATCTTGCATAAAATGTTGACATGGTTTTGCACAGTACTTTCTGTAAAAAACGTAATCGTCATGTCAGTAGCTGCTGAGTGCTGTTAAAATGCATTGTTCGGTGGATTAGCTGTTCACACGACATGTAAAAGTGACGCGATATCTACAGGTATTGAGCTGTCTTGTGTTGTAGCGTGATCCCGAGTGTGTTTCGCAGTGCTGTAAACAGGAGTGTAAACGAAAAATCTAGAAAACACATCTTTCACATGCAAACGCTTCACTTCCAAACAGCACTGAGGTATGATGAGTCCCAGACAGAAATATGAATAATCTTGTGGTTACATAAACATTTCACGTCTTTCACATTTATCTTTGCGCCTATCAACGTGCAGGCTGGCCTCGTTTTTATCTGAACTCACCCTCACTTCAGCCACGCGACAACATCTGCTGTAAAAATTCGAAAGAAATATCAGTGTCAGTAGCTGAGGTCACATTGTGGGATGAGAGTACAGCGCACAGCACAGTAGCTTAATTGAATGATTCACTTATGTGTTAATTTTGTGCTCCTTCTTGACACTGTAGTCAGACAAAATTGCAGACTTTTTAAATCAAAATGCAACATAATGAGGTGTGTGGGAGTCTCATATTGCAATACAACAGCTCTGTACTGTACTATCATCATCCACAAGAGATCAAAACGCACTGTCTGTGACACATTATTTGTGACAATGATCAATTCACAACATGATTAAATAGCAGCCTCCCTCTCATGAAACAGAATCTGCTTTTGGAGGACCACTGCAGTAAAGATCAGCATGAGCCATCTACAACTCTGTAGCACGATGACCGCCAGTGTTACTGAACATATGTAAAGATAGGTACCAGTTGGATCAGCAGCGCAAATGCAAACTTAGAAAAAGATGGAGAAAATAAACGACAGCTACATAATCCCGAAAATACACAATATGTACATGACACGATTGAACTACTTTCACATTTGAGTTCAGTAAACACTGCATAGGTGACTGCATCACGAGCACAGATGAGATTGTTTTATCGTGTAATGCCTCACTTGAATAAATATTACATAAATATTTTCACTTATACATCAGTCTCCTTCTCGAGCCAACAGTTTCCCCGATGTCTGCCGTGTGCCACAAAGGTGATATTCAAAGAAAAAACAGCAACCTTGCATCATGAATGTTATCTGCCATACAGGAACATTCATACAGTTAAGCACTCGTACTAATAATAGAACAGAAACGTAAAAATAGCAGCAAATGTGGTCATGTTAAGCAACACATAAGTTGAAATAACAATAAAAAAAATGTAGTGCATTCTCAATTTATAAAAAAAATAAATAAAAATAATAAATGAGTAACTCAAAAAGGCAAATTAAGGCTTAGCAAAAAGTCGCTTGCAAATAAAGAACTAAAGAAAACAAAAGCTGGACGTCTCATTGGGCCACTGAACCAATAGAAAAACACCATTTGGCTGCTCTAGACAGAACAGTAATGAACCTTCAAGTTAACCGAAGGACAAAAACCTTAAAGCACTGCCTTCAACAACATAACAAGCACTGCATAGCCCTTCAAAGCACTATCCACCCCAGTACCACTTGTCAAGGTTATTGAATGCCTTGTACTCCTTGTGCCTACGCAGGTAATCACACGCCAGGCATGTGTGCTCTGCCCAGAAATAGGCCTTCTTTACTTTAAAGTGTCGCCGCCACTCAAAGTACCTGAGGTACATTTCCTCGTTCTTGTCCAGGAGCAGCAGGTAATCGGCCAGCTCCTTGGGCGAGGTGAAGTCGTCCACGTGGATGAAGGCGTCCCCCTGGATAAAGTTCTCGTAGTTCTGCCTGGGCGGGCCGAGAACCACTGGCACTGTCCCCACAGAGAGCGGGTTGTACAGTTTCTCAGTAATGTAGTCCTTGTGGATGGAGTTCTCAAAAGCCAGGTAGAACTTACAGCTGGCGATGGTGGGGAAGTAGTCTTGGTCAGAGATGTACTCCCCGAAGGCTTGTCCATAGGCGTGAACCTCAATGTGTTTGTACAGCTCATTATAGTATTTCACCCGCACGTGGTCCTGGTTCCAGTTGCTGACGATCCAGCAGATCAGTTTGTTTTTGCTGGGTGGCACAAAGTCCTCCTCGCCCTCTGCTGCTACGATGGACCCATAAGGCACTTCAATGTCAGCATCCTGACGGTAATTGAGAGTCAGATTGAACAAGTTCTCGATCCCAGGCAGCTGGGACGAGTGCGATGGCGACTCCAAGTTCATCCATATCCACTTCTGGAAGGACGGGCGCTGGAATGGCGGCAGGTTGGACAGGTCGGTGCAGATATCTCGGTGATGGATGACGACCCCATCCGACTTGTTGTAGAGGTTTCTGTCCGCTGTGATGAAGCAGCCCTCGATGTTAAAGAGAGAGCTGCAGACGCTCAGGTCGTACGTCTGTCCGAAGGGCCAGAGCCAGATCAGCACGGTGGTGACGTTTTTGTCGCTCTTGGTGGAGAAAAGGTTCTTGACCCGGTCTGTGGGTACTGTCGACTCTACGGGACCTGATAACCAGCTGGTGGATGGTTTAAAATACATCAAAAACAGAGTCACAAAGCATCCCAGGATGAAAGTGCCGAGCAGAAGGGGTCGTAGGATTCTGTGGAAAGGTGCAGATGGCATACTCTGTCCTATGAAGGGCAAAACCAATAAGAAAAAAGGCAGAACAAAGTCAGGATGCAACATCAGGACTAATCATGTAATCGTGTACAGACCTTGCACATTATCACCAGGTGATGTCTGTTACACTGCACCACTGTCTCTGGTGCATCAGTTAAATTCAATTCCATCTGCATGTAAAACGAGCGCTCCTATTCTTGCTTTAATTAATGAATCTGCTGTGTATAATGCACCCGCCACTTTGGATAAATGCTCGTAAAGAAAAATGTGAAGGCTCCTCAGTCACAATCTGATACAAACCTTGTGGATTTGACTGAATGCTGAAATCCAAGCAAGAGTGGAGGTTGAGGGAATCGGAGGGAACGGTTCCTACATCGGATCGACGGTCGGATCAATCTCCACTGTGAGTCAGGGTTCATAGAAAAAACCTTGCAGTTCACCGTTAAGAGATGCTTCTTTGCTCTTAAGCAGAATAACAATGACCCTTAATGATCTAATGAGGTGTGTTTGATCTCGAATGTACAGGTCTTCTTAATGATGCCTCCTTTACGTGAGCAGAGAAAGAGAAAGAGAATCGGAGAGAATAAATTAGGTAAAGCAGAGGGAGATAAAACAACACATCACCACAGGGGGAAAAAAGCATGTCTAGAGGTTACATGCAATCTGCATGCAAAGATAAGCTTCACCTGCACAAACAAATCTGTCACTTAGTTAAAAAAACTAAAAAAATAGCCACCTAATCCGAGATATTATTGGACATTTTGCAGTTGAGCATGGATGTAAGCTCCCAGCTGTTGTTAGTTTTTGCCATATTCCATGTATTGCAAGGGAATGCTGCCATCTTAAGGCTGAGGGGAGCAGACAGGCCCCCTGCCTCCCCGGCTCGCTGTGGCTCAACACACCTGCATGTTATACAGAGGCCCATACAAGCAGGTTGAGATGCCAAGTGCAAGAATCAACCTTGAGAGATGATTCTGTTCTCCCCATGCACCACCGAAGCACATCTGAATTATAACACCGTAGTGTTCCTTGTGTGCAATATCCAATACGCATCCATCCTCTTTTGGCTTTTGGTGCACCCAAAGGCAAAGGAGTGTAACTCCTTTAAATGCTTGTAGTATCAATACATTTCCATGTAGGAAAATCCTCTTACACTGCTGAAGCATGCTCTCCGTCAGCAGCAGTGATCAGACCTTAGAGAGGATGCACAACACCTTATGTATTGGTGTCAATTACATAAACCCAGAAGAACTATAGTGCAAAGATCAAATCAGGCCTATTACATATTCAGAGTGTGGCAAAGTTACAGTGTCACCATGGTGATGCTGCTAAGGTCAGAGTTTAATATAAGAGGGGGGGAAATATGGCTCACACTGTTTTGGTTTCCACCAAATGAGACCGCAGTGAGACTCCTACAGCTCCAACATTCATTCACACTTTAAATAACATAGCTGCGGTTTTTGGTAAATGCATTGTGATGGATTTGGGACACGAAAAGAGCACCGCATGGGTGAGTAGTCTGCAGCGAGGGCTCCGTTTGAAATGACTGGAGAGAAGCAAAGAAATTAGAGAAAAAAGAAAAGAAAAACGCAGTCATATAATTTGGCAGCAGAGATGCATCAAATCCCAAATGGGAGCGTTTGGTAACAGGTAGGGGGAAAGGGGGGAAAAAAAAACAACAGATGCTCATGTCCAGCAAATATGCATGTGAGATATATGTATATATAT